AAGATAAGGGTGTTAGAACATCTCACTTCCCTGTGTGAAGATCATCTCCTCTCTTCAACAGAATGGAAATGAGGGCCTCCACCCAACTATCCCATTAAGCAACTGAAGACGTTTTGGCCCAAAACCTGCACATATCAGGATGGAAACTCCTCCCTTGCATGTTCACCACTCGAAATACGCAGCTGGACCGAGGTGATTACTGGGGAACASATCCTGCTTGCTTTGAAGATTGAAGACTTCTTTTGAGGTTGGTGGAACTTTAGGTCTCCCAAGGGCGAATGTTTAGGTTCTAATCCTCTCCCCTTGCCTACTGTAAGAAATTCAAAGTTTTACATTGCTGCTGTGGGTTACTGGGCTGACCTGGTGTAGCTGAACTCATTTTCCTCTGAAGCTCTAACAAATGGTCTCTGAAAAGCCGAGCCATTTTCAGTTTACTGGAATCAAGTAGAATTTTAACAAATCAGAGTGAAAAGGGCCAGATGTGTATCAACCCTGAAACAACCGTGCTCTAACACAAATCAGATTTATGCCATCCTGCAGGAACTTCCCAGTCGGGGCACTCCCTTGGGATGTCCCAGCAGAGCGTGGTTTGGGACATCCAAGCAGCTCTTCCATCTGCGAGTGACGCAGCGGGAGCCGCGTGCTGAGCATTGACAATCACCCGGCTGCTGTCACTCCCACAAAACCTCTGCCTTTTGCCAAGTCTAATCAYTCCACTGTGCACCTCACCTTCCTGAATGAGAGGTCCTCATTCAAGCATGTCGTTTATTCCAAAACACATGCTGCATTCATTAGAGCTGAATATTAACGAACACCTTGGATTCTCGGAGCGTTATTAGGATCAGGTCTCTTGGCTGCTGCTMGCACAGAATGCCTTATGGGAAGCTTGATGCCCAGCCAGGACTCAGATTACAAAGCATACACATCTTTCTTTCAATATATTGAAGAAGTCACTCAACTTTACAGATCATCCAAGTACTTCCTAAACATATGTGTTTTTCCAAAATGTTTGCGCTGGGCTTGCAAASRCTCTGGAAAACTCTGGCTTTCCTTTTTCAGAAGCTGGGAAACAGGGATTAATCCATTTAAACWTTTAAAAGGAATTGAATGTTTCATAATTATTTTTTTTCTCAGCCTTTTATCTTTTGATAAAATCTCATAAGAAAACATAAAGAATAACCTCTCCTGAGGACAGTTTAGAGCTCAGATTGTGTTGTGTCCTCCTGCTTATGGCAAGTTTTAGGTAATGACTGATTTTCTGCAGCCAACTCAGAACTAGTAGCATTTTCCAGGAATCTGAACCATGCGYTTGCATGATCTCCACCACATGAATACTTGAAAACTTATCAAATTGTTGTGCCTTGAAGTATAACTTTCCTATGGAGCACGATAAAAGTTTTTTTCCATATTTATAAAGGCTGTCAAGCAGCCTCAAGGGGTAAATACAGTCACAGAGGAAGTCTGAGCTTGTGTGACAGCAAAAGGTGGATCACCTGAACACCAGTTCTGCCTCCTGCCTCTGAAATTGGCTTCGTTTTACACATAATGTGCACAGCAASAAGACTCTCCTTGTATATCAATACATTTTTTAAAGCTTTATCTAATATAATATCCCATTTCCTCAAAGTATTAYGTATTTAGCATCACCTGTTGACTAAGATGGAAATAAATATTTGTGCTATTACTCYTAAGGTGCAATTATTATTCATTCCAAAGGGTCAAGGGCATAGATTTCTCACACAACCTGGGACCAGGGCTCTCCCCTGTTYCTCCTCCATCCTGTCGCACTCCCCTGATCCCAAGGACTATTTTGTAGCCTCTGCAAAGGTGCCCAAAAATGATGTCTGTGAAATATGATGGAGAGCACTCAAAAAACACACCCTGGTGCACCCCTAGAGCAAGGACACAGCACTTTTGAGGAGTTCAGATGTCTGCAGTCACATAAATCCTGCAGGGGAAAGTCTCTTATCCAATTTCCCGGTGTCACTTCAGAGTTTGCATTGATGCAAAGGGAGCCATTTCACAACTCATAAAAGCTGGCTAGGATCAGTCCAGCTCTGCTATTTAGCTGAAATATGCCTCGAGATATAAGTGAGTGGAGGAGATGCTTCTTTAAGGAAACCAAGCCATGGATTTTGGATAGGATTAGGCACAAATATCCTCTTGCTTTTATAAATATTGACAAAAGGAAACAGGAAGATAGGTCTGTCCATAAAGTGGAGGTCTATTAACCATAATGCTGCTCCATTCGAGTGATAGTTTTATCTTTGTATTAAAACAAAAAGGGTAAGGCCAGATATTACTTTTTTTTATACCGATAGTTCCAAACCTCATAAAATATTAGTATCTGTATCRGCTATAAAAATTAACAGCTCCAGATTCTTCAGTGTTGTGGTCCTCAATTTCATTTTATCACCAGCTTTCCTGTGTGTGTACGTGTGGGCGTGCACACACGTCCCTTCCCTTCTAAGCCCTTGCTGAAAAGGCTGATAATTGCTCAGTAAGGCTGCATGGTAGGGCTTGCAAGTGGCACTCCTGATTCCTTTACATCAGAGGTCACTATTGTACAGTGAGATCCTGATAGGAGATAGTGATAACGTGATGCAAAAAGGAGAAAAAAAAAAATTAAAAAAAAAAAAAACAAAACCTGCTGAGGAAAATTCTGGTGTTGTCAGCAGGGATTGTTCTCCAGTTAAATAACTTTCTAGGTACAAAACTCAAAAATTCTGACAGGCATCTCAGTTCAAAACTGCCCTTTAAAAAGGTTTGGGAGCCAATGTAAACACTAAACTCAGTACAATGTTTGTATTCACTTGCCCAATCTAACTTTTATTAACAATTAATCCATCAAATTTCAATGCCTATAAAATCCTCTGAGTCACAAGCCCCTCTGGAAAGCCTGTATCTCGAAAACAAAAATTGCAATTACTGKCGTTATTTTTTTGAGGCAGAATCAGATTTAAATGGGGTTTTACAAACTGGAGAATTATCTGCATTTCTACTGTCTAAAGGCATCAGATCCCCTTAAAGCTCACATACAGGGTAAACACATAGGAACTACAGGAGGCAGCCAGTACATATGGAACGGATAAAGGCCACATAGTTTATTGAACCTTGTGGCCTGCTGATGTAACAAAATAAGCTTTGCAATGAGCAGTCAGATCTTAGCATCAGGCCGCTCCTTTGCTCCAGTGTAATGGATGATAGCTCTCAGAGGGCCAGATTTGGATCCCCTGTATTTATCAGGAGTCTTACTTCAGGCTCTGGCCCTCAGTACGCCTGAATGGGGGATTTAGAAACGTTCATTCGTAATATTTTCTCTTCTCTGAGCAAAGTGTGGTGAGAGGCAGCTGGAAGGTTTCATGTTCCAGCAGCTGAGGGGGAAAGAGATCCTGAGACCAGGTAYATGAAATCTTTCCAGCTCTGATGAGTCCTCCTCTTCCAAAGAGATAAACGGTTCTTTGTCAGGGTAAAAGCAATTTGGACTGAGCTGTCTCATCAYTGCAATAACCCCTTGCTGAAATTTTAAACCAACCAGAGGAGCCAAAAAAGCAAACATTGAGTGCCATTGCCTTTACCTGCCAGCAGCAAGGCTTCCACCATTCCTGAGAGATACCAAATTTTCTGTCTCTTTTTAAAAATTTTATTATTTCCTTAAACTCAGCCTTCCCAGCATTCAAAGTTGTTACTCTGGGATCATTAGCAATGTCTGGTGTAAACATAAGGGAGGAAGTTCTCACACACCTTAAATCTGGTGCTGATGGAAATATCCCAAATGATGGAAATAACCCAGCACAGCAAGGGCTTGAGGAAAAGCCTGAAGGTATCTCAAGAAGCCATAGAGCTGTCCCTGTGTGTCTGGAGACAATTCAGCCCCTGCAGATGGAGACAATTCAGCCTCTGAGGGTGCAATCCCAGTCCTTGTGCCCCAAGGAAGCTGCTTTTGTTTTTGCACAGAGATGCTCCTGGTTAAARGCTGTGGCAGTGAGTTTGGGCTCATGAAACTTTGTGCTGGTAGCACATCTACTAAAACATGGGCTTTTTTGCTTGAAGAGACATTTTTTGACTGCAGACTA